TTCCTGAACCCCCACCGCCAAGCCCTGGGAGGGAGATGCCAGGCAGGCGCTTCGCTTCACCCACGCACCCTCCGCCTCCTCCTCCCAGCCTCGGGAAGGGCAGCCACGACCTCGCCCGGCCGCCGCCTCCGAAATCCGCCGAGGCGCAGGCGGCCGTGCCCTTCGCTGGCGCGCCCTCCTTCTTCTTCGCCTTCGCCGCCGCCGCTCGTCCAGCGGAGCCGGCCACCCCCGCGCCAGAAGGGAGACGAGACGTGGCGGTCGCCGCCCCCGCGCCTTCGGCTCCCACCAGCTGTCGAGGGAGGAAGCCCAGACCGAGACTTGTCAGACGGCGGCGGCGGCGGAGACTCCTCTCGCCCTTTCCTTTCCTTTCCTACCCGCCCCTCAGGCAACCGGTCTGGCTTTCCTGTCCCGCCAGAGTCATTGCGCCACTGACAGCCCCGGGGCTCCCGAAGCGGCACACTTGTGAGGAAGGCAGTGGCGGGGTTTGCGAGGGCGGGGGGAAAGCTTTATTGAGAGGGCCAGCCAGTACGAAAACTCCGTAGCGTCAAGGGGGGGGGGGGGGACCGCTGCAGCAGCAGCACCACCACCTCCTCCTCCGCTGCCTCATTAAAGAGTGGAAAGAGGAGACGGGCCCGCCCGCTCTCTACGTAGTTGCAGTGATTCAGAGAGATTCTCTAGGAAGGGAGCGGGCGTGGTTCTACGTCATGTACGGAACGTGCTCCCGGCAGAGTCCCTCTCGCCTGGGCTTTGCTGGGAGGAGAGCTCGCTCAGTATCTTTCTGCCTTCCTGTCGATTCTGAACGACTGTCCAGGCCCTGCCGGCCCTGCTGTTAAGCAAAGCGAGGCAGCAGCCTCGAGCAGAAAATAGATGCGCGGGGCGGGGGGGTGGAGGCTGGAAGACCAGCAGCCCCCCTGAACATGCCTGCTGGGGTATCCCTGCATATCGTCGATTTTCAGGGCTGAATTTTCAGCAACGAAGAGGAAGGGAAGGGGAAAATCTCGCTGAGAGGCAGATGTCCCTGCATATCGTCGATTTCCAGGGCTGAATTTTCAGCAACAAAGAGGAAGAGAAGGGGAAAATCTCGCTGAGAGGCAGATGGGTGCGGGCCTCCCTTCCGCCTCTGCTGATAAAACTTATGCTGCTGCATCTCAACCCCGGGGTATTTATTTTTCGACATTTTAGAAGTGTTGTTATCAGGCAAGATTCATGACTACTGTATGTCGCAGATCAACGAACAGTAGAGAAAGAGAGCTTTTCTCTTTAGCATGATTCTCCTTTGTCTCTTTTATAAGTGCTTATTCATATGCTCACGGTCTCCCATCACAACATCTGAGGTTATGGAAAGGCACTATACATACTTGATCCCAATATGTTCCATCAATGAATTCATGTTTAGGCCAGCTGGTTATTCATCATGGATTACTGTCAGAGAAGCTTTGCATGGTAAACTTACTTAAATTGTGCAGCGTTCTTGATATGAAAAAAGAAAGAAATACTGTCAGAGACATAGTGCACATAGTGTAGTGATTGTTTTACTGTTCACCTTTTTATTGTTACTATATACTAAAGTAAAAAACCCCAACAAAAATGTAAATACTGTACTGTAGAATATAATAGGTAACAGTAGTGTTCCTTTTCTTGGCATCAAGAAGCAGTCACACACTGGCTAGTGGACCCTTGTAGCTACTACACTACAAAAACACCTGTATTTGAGTGAAAATGCATTAGTCAGAATGCTAGTAAGTAGTTATTCATGATGGCATCATTTCAGGGATATAAGTTGCAGCTGCAAATTGCCAGTAGTTAAGGAGTCACTGCTTGTATTTTTTGTCATATACGAAGTGATGTGATCAGTACATTATGATGAAAATCAGCAATTCCTTAACTAGTTGCAATTCATTGCTGCGATTTATGCCATTGGACTTTCACCAGAATAAACAGTAGGACTCTGGCCATTGTTTTTACATGTGCATATAGGGTGATTAGCCATCTTCCTATAGATCAATGTGATGTGCTTTGCACGTATACTTAGGACTGCAACGCTAACAATGCAGTTCAAAATATTTATTTATCATTTATTATTATTAGTTCTTATAGTACACTTGGTGAACAGTAATTCCCATTGACCTCAGAGGAACTTCTGAGTAAACATGCAGAGGATTAGCCAGTAATAGAAATCCTTTCCATTTAACTTGGAGGTATGTACTACTATATTCAGTGAAACCTACATTCAGGCATATGTCTATAGGGCCTGCAGGTAACGCTAAGGAATACATTCTTGAAGGCTTTCACAGCCGGGATCTGATGGTTATTGTGGGTTTTTCGGGTTCTTTGACCGTGTTCTGAAGGTTGTTCTTCCTGACGTTTCACCAGTCTCTGTGACCGGCATCTTTAGAGGACTGGAGTAGGAACTCTATCCATGCTCTGTTGCTGTTTGTTGGATAGCTGGGTAGAGTTCTCCAACCACCACCCATGACAGAAAAGAGGCATAATCAAAACACTGGTAGACTGTGAAGCTCAATTCGGAACTGTGAAGCTCAATTTCTCAGCCCTGAAATCAACCATCTGAATTGGACCTGACAGGCGAATGGCTATTCCAAGAATGAAATCAAAAGAGCCTTCAAACCAAGAAAACAACAAACTGAAGAGGAAAAACAGCCACCCACAAATAAAGTATTTCTGCCAGACATCAAAGGGGTCACGGACCGCATAGGGAAACGTCTGAGAAAACACAACCTACAAACAGTGTTCAGACCCACCACAAAAATACAAAATACAAAAACAACACATGTTACAGTCAGCAAAGGACAAAAGGGACCTCCTCACCACTGCAGGACTATACCAGATACCTTGCAGTTGTGGACAGGTATATACTGGAACCACAAAACACAGCATTCACACCAGAATCAAAACATGAGAAACACTGCAGACCGAAACAACTGGAAAAATCAGCATCAGCTGAACATGCCCTAAAACAAGCTGGAGATGAAATTCTATTTCATAATACTGAAGTACTGGACAACATCAGCAACCACTATGTTAGACTGCACAGGGAAGCCATTGAAATCCATAAACATCAACAGAATTTCAAAAAAAAGGAAGAAGGCCTAAAACTAAATGTAAAAGGTCAATGAACTCTACCCAGCCACAAGGGCCAGGGATCATTGCACAAAAAAGACCAGCTAATGACACCCATCAATCACAGTAACAGATAATCCCCTTCTCCTTATCACAACAAAAAACATGCTGATCACCCTATCTCCTGAAAAAAGACAAAGCTGTTCCCACAACTATAAATACTCAGCTATCCAACAAACAGCAACAGAACATGGACAGAGTTCCTACTCCAGTCCTCTGAAGATGCTGGCCACAGAGACTGGCGAAACGTCAGGAAGAACAACCTTCGGAACACGGCCAAAGAACCCGAAAAACCCACAACAACTAAGGAATATACTTCGAAGCCAAGACAATGAAGTTTTTTCATTTTCTTTTAAATGGACTGTGAGGTCCAGTGATTATAGCATTCCACAGTGAAGTGAGTTAAATGTTTATAACAGCCTTGCAGGTGACCAATACTTTTTCTTATAAAGATACCACTTCAGCCTTGCCAGGATATGAGTAAGGAATAATATAGTTCAGTTGTTGTATACATTATGTGTCAAATGAAACGGTGTTCTCAGTTTAAATGGATTTTCCCCTAGTACTCGTTTAAAATGTTTAGATAAGCTGAGTGTTGGCATTCAATCTGTCACCCAGGTTGTGTTTCAGGAATAGAACATCTGTGTTTTCTGGCCTTCTCTGCACTGCCAAGCAGTTTCTTCCCCAAGAACCACCTGTTATTATTGCAACAGCACTAAGTCTTCAAAGACATCTCAAATGTAGATCAGGATGCTTTGGTTCACTTTCTGACAGATATTAATCAATCAGTCAAGCATTTGGAGGGCAAGGAGAGGAGATAACTATGATACTGTAAATATGAAGATTGTTTTTCCACAGTTGGCACTTAAAACCGAAATAGCTTTTTTTGTGAATAAGCTTTTTATTGTGCAATCCCCTTGTCTCATTCATGGAATTTTAGGAAGAGCTCAGACAATAAACTTTCATTTCTAACCTTTGGGTTTGTTTATTTTTTCCCATCTCTCCTGCGGAAGGAAGGAAGGAAGGGAGGGAGGGAGGAAGGAAGGAAAAGCAGACTAGTTGTCTCCGGATGGAAACTGTGCATTCTTCTTGTCAGATACTGTATAATTATATTTAGGAGGTTCTTTTCAGAAGGAGGGGTCCAGTTAGAAGGCACTGACTGAAGTCCTGTTGCACAGTTATGCAAATGGCATAATCTTTGGAAATGTGAGTTAAGAAGTCTCTGTAGACTTTATCTCTTGCATACCCAGTTGTGAGAACTTGGCTCCCAAGAGATAAGGCCTACAGATTTTCTTGACTCATATCAATTCACCTCTAAAAGTTATACTGTTTGTAGAACTACACAAGATTTCAGCCACTCTGGAACTATTCCATCTGTCCCCCACCCCTGCTTTCATGGATATTATCTATTGAGAAAAAAGATGGGACTGGCAGCAGCAAAATAAAGGAAGATTATATATGAAGGACAACAGCATCTGAAATCTGAGAGATAAAGTGGAGTAAACAAAGCAGAGTGATGCCTTGTCTGGAACCCTGGGAAACAATCAGGAATAATAAAAATGTTAGT